ACCTGGGCCACTCAACATGGCTTTTATTGTTCCTGATGTTAGTGCATGCTCTCTTTTTACAATAAACTCATGACCGTCAGAAGATATCAATTTGACATACATGGCATCCGGGCCTTCACAGCCACCATAGGTTTTCTCTTCTCCATCTGAAATAAGTACTAGAATCAGTTTTATGTTACACACGCATTAAGAAAAACAGTGCCTGCAGTGACGGCTCACGCCTGTTAATTCCAGGTATGTGGGAAGCTGAGGCAGAAGGAACACGTGTGAGGATAAGCTGGGAATAATTAGCAGTTAGAACAAAATAAAAATTATTAGGGGCTGGTGAGATGGCTCAGTGGTCTAAGGCACCTACTTAGAACAAGCTTAGCAAAGCACAAGGACCGTGGTTCAATCCCCCAGCACCACATGCCAGCCCACCCCGCCCCCTGGCGGGCTGAGCTGCCCCCCCCCCACACAAATAAATAATAAAAATTATCAGTAAGGATGTACCTCAGTGACAGAATGGCCTGGGTTTGACATCAGGGAAGAAGGGAGGGAGCGAAGGACAGATGAATGAGTTGGGTTTACCAAGGTTAACATTTGAGGGTTAAAGACAAACCATTTCTGAAAGGTACCATCACTTTCCTAAATACCTTCCACTGTTGTATAAACTCTGGATCAAAGGATGCAACACTAGATGAAAACCTACCAGAAGTCTTCAAGAAGCATTTCTGGTGACTAAAGTAGCACACAAAACTTTTATTTATTTTTTTGTGGAACCAGGGATTGAACTCAGACCCATGCACTTGCCAGGGAAGCACTTATTACACGGAGCCATCTCCCCGGCCCCGCACACAAAACTTTTTAAATAATAGTATCTAAAAAGTAGAAGCTGATTGTGGTGGTACATACCTGTCATCCTGGGATACATAGTGAGTTTAGAGCCAGCCAATTGCATGGCAAGTCCCTTGTCTCAAAAAAACCCAATGTGCTAGCAAGATGGCTCAGTGGAATAAGCGCTTCCCTGGCAAGCGCAAGGGCCTGAGTTTAATCCCTGGTTGGGGGGGGGAGGAGGGACAGGACCCCAAAATAAAACCAAACAAAAAACCCAAAACCAACAAAAACAAAGCCAAAATTGAAAGCAGAGGGACTAGGTGATGCAATTCAGTGGTAGAGTGGTTGTCAACTACGTATGAGACCCTGGGTTCAAACGCTGGTGCCAACACCAAAATAAAAATACAAGATGAGAAAAGAGATGAGAAAAGATTATTTATTTTATTTATGCAGAACCGGGCATTGAACTCAGGACTTGCGCTTGCCAGGGAAGCACTTAATTCCACTGAGCCATCTCCCTGGCTCAAGAGATGAGAAAAGAGCGTATCTACTACCCAGTATCTGAACTGCCATAGGTTGACTTTAGCCATCATAGTCTGTTCAACACAATACTATCAACAAAGAACCGTGCTCCATAATCCTCAAAGTAGGGAAAGCCATTAGAAGGACACTAAGGAAGCTGTACATGGAGGCTCATACCTGCAGCCCCAGCATCTAACTGAGCTAGGAGAATCAGAGCTTGGGCTGTGAGGGAGCTACTGGACTGTATGGTGAGACTGTCCCAAAAAATAGAACAAAACAAAACCAAACAAGGAAACTAAAGAAGTTCATACAATAAGAGACACCTTACTGGATCAAAGATTAAAAGAAAACAGGGGCCCGGGAGATGGCTCAGTAGGATAAGCGCTTGACTGGCAAACTCAAGGATCTGAGTTCAATGCCCGGTTCTGCAAAAAAAAAAAAAAAAAAAGAATGGAAAAACAAAGACTTGCTGTGAAAGACACTACTGAAACAATTGGGAAATTCTGACATGGACTAAATTAGAGAGCAAATGTAGACCTGTTTAGGTATGAGGTGGTGTGGTTTGAACATTAAACGACAAACAGCACACAACATGCACAGAAAGCAAATAGGACAAAATATTACCATCTAGTGAAGGCTATGACAGGGCATAATTTTTCTAATTTTCCATAAAATAAATTCTGGAAGACTCAAAGACGTAACTAACTACCTTCAAAATTAAAGATTACTCAAGTACATAGATTCTTAGGGTATTTTCTGCCTACATGTGAGAAAAAATTTTAAGCTATCAATTACTTCAGTTTGAAATTGTTCCTAACATATTTTGCAAGACAAACCATTTTATGTTAGGAAAGTTACAATTTTGTGAAGGTACAATACTGATTATTGTCAACTGGATCTTGCAAAGCATTATTACTAATCTGCCCTTCAGAAACACAAACAAGCTTTTGACATTAACTAATTTCAGTTTAGCTATTTTCTTTCTTACATTCAACTGAAAAGCTTCATCTTTTTTAATGAATAAGAAAATTTAGCTTCTATTAATTGGTTTGTATTTTTAATTTTTTTTAATGCTTCCTTAATTTTTTCCTATTTTTTAATGGTCAGCTCAGCCCACCCTGGGGGCGGGGCTGGCATGGCATGTGGTGCTGGGGATCGAACCGAGGTCCCTGCATGCTTGCCTAAGCAGGCACTTTAGACCACTGAGGTATCTCGCCAGCCCTAGCTTCTACTAATTGTAACAGAAATTACCTTTCTATAACTTACCCATTATGTTCTTATATAATTCTACTTTCGTTCCACAGGAACTTTCTTTAGTAGCTTCCTAAAAATATAAAAACATTATTGTTATTGTAAGCATGTTTTCACTCATTATTTCATATAGCCTCAATCACATTCCAATACACAAATCCATTAATCAACTGAAAAGTACTAAAATGTGAATTAGTAAAGGCTTCAAAATCACAGGAATTTTATTTTATTTTTTTGGAACCAGGGACTGAGCCATCTCCCCTGTCCCCTCACAACATTTTTAAAAAAAAAGATCAACCTAATCAAGAGGGTCAAAAACCTCTACAATGTAAATTTCAGAATACTGAAAGATGTAGCTATTACAAGATGAAAAGAACTGATATAGGTGGAGAAAGAATGTGGCAAAGCTGGCTTGGGAAATGAGCATGACCTGTTAATTACAAGATCCCAGGGCAAAGTCAGAACCTGCACATAGAACATTTTCTTTTTGACTTTATGAGACAGGACCTCACTGTGTGGCCTGGAGCTCACTTTGTGGCCCAGGATGGTCTCAAACTTGCAGTGATTCTCCTGCCTTGCCTCCTGAGTGCTGGGATGACAGGCCTACACCAGCATCCTAGCTTTCAAGCTCCCAGGACATGTGAACAGAAAGACAAGATGCCAAGGTTTGCTTAGTATCATGGCTTCCCACGGCAGTCCAATTAACTTTTTTTTTTTTGTACCTCGAACGCCTTCAGGGCACTTTTGGCCAGCGGGCGAGTTGTGAGGTTCGAATTCCAGCAACCTGAGGCTGACAGCTTTGTGGAAGCAGCCACTTAAAGGCCTGAGCTAGGGCCAGGCCCCCACCAGTTAACTTTCTTTTCTCTTATTTTCCCAAAGATTGCTCTGCAGAGCTTGGCTTCTCTCATACCTATTCACTCCAAACTTTTATTCCTCATTTTATTTATTTATATTTATTTATGTGTGTGTGTGTGTGTGTGTGTGTGTGTGTGTGGCCAGCTCAGCGCACCAGGGGGAGGGGCTGGCTGGCATGGGGTGCTGGGGGATTGAACCACAGTCCCTGTGCTTTGTTAAGCTTGTTCTAACTAGGTGCTTTAGACCACTGAACCACCTCACAAGCCCTCACTCCTCACTTTTAAATAAACTTTGGCACTGTTTTGGGCTTGTCTCATCTGACTCTAAGGCAAGAAGGACCTGAATGAAATACCTTTGGTGAGTGATTTCTAAAAGAACTACCAGTAACATTCCCATGGTCACACAACTGCAGAACTGCTAAAATAGTCACATTATCAGTGATGTGCAGATTCAATGCAATTCCCAAATTTTAATGCCATTCCACAGATCCAGTAAAGTGGTCCTAAAATTCACGTGGAAATACAGACCTCAGAATAACTAAAGTAATCCTAAGCAAAAACAATGCTGAAACAGTTGAGTAAAGCTATAGCAATACCCAATTTCAAATTACCATACAACCACAGTAACTATAACAGCTTGGTACAGGCATGAAGCTAGGCACACAGACCAATGGAATCAAATAGAGAGCACAGAAACAACACAGCTGTATGAAAGGAACCAAAAATATGCATTGGGGAAAAAGACAGTGTCCTTAGCAAGTTAGGCTGGAGAAAATGGATTCCTGTACATAGAAGATGACAACTAGACCCAATGTCTCATTCTGCATAAAAATCAACTCAAAATGGATGAAAGACTTGGGCACAAGACCTGAAAGGTTGAAACTGCTATAGGAAAAAACACGTAAATCCATAGGCACAGGCAAAAGCTTCCTGAATTGGTTTCTAAAAAGCACAAAAAATAACAAAAATAAATAAAATTTAAAAAAAGAGACATATTAAAGTTCCTGTATAAGCAGAGATAGAATAGGAGAAACTTCCAACTGAGGGATACCTAGAATATGTAAAACACAACACAAAAATAACCTTAAACAGCTCAATTAAATGGACAAAGGAAGGAAACTTCAAAAATACAAATGGCCAATAAGTATATGAAAAAATATTCATCATCTTCAGCCACTAGGAAAACACTGAAACCCCACACACTAATCACAATAGCAAACCATGAAGAATACTACAACACATGCTGGCAAGAATACAAGGAAAAGGAATATTCCTATACTGGTGAAAGTAAGTACAGACTTCCTTAAAAAATTAGAATGGTGCCAACCTGGCACAGGCCCAGGATTCCAGCACTTGGGAGGCTAGTACACAGCAAGACTATCTAAAACAAAACCCCTCTAAAATGAAAAATCCCTTTAAAAACAGAACTCTTATGACCCAGCTGCATACTGCTCCCTGGTATGCACCCAAATGAAACACAATCATCATGCTATAGGGATACCTGCATGCCCATGTTTACTGTAGCACAATCCACAACAGCTACATACAAAAGCAACTTAGTGGACCATCAAAACATAAAGATGCTGGGCTGGAGAAATGGCTCAGTGGAATTAAGTGCTTGCCTAAATTCAATCCTCGGTTCAGCCAAACAAAAAAACATGAAAATGCTAAAAAAAATGTTGGTACATACTCACAATGGAGTACTGTTCAGCCATTAAAAAAATGTTTTTTCTTTTAGGAAAATAAATAGTATTGGGAGATCAGCACATTAAGAGAAGCTAAACTTAGAAGTTAACACATTTTTCCTTAATACTGCTTTAAACACAGTATTTTGTAAAATATGCAGCAAAGAATTTGACATATACATTACATATATTATGTATTAAAAGTAAAAAAGACTTGCAAAAGTGAGTGGGGACAGGGAGATGGCTCAGAATAAGTGCTTCCTGGCAAGCACAAGGGTCTGAGTTCAACTCCCAGTTCCACAAAAAAACTTAAGATACAAGAAAGTTCATTAAAAGGCAAACAAAACAATCACGAAAAAACCTACCGTACTGAGTTTTTTCTGTATTTTCGGGAGTTTTTTCTGTTATTTTTGGGAAGGGTCCACAAGGTGTTCTGGTTCTCACTACTAGATTGGACTCATAGTGATCTGCCTGTTTACAGCCTCCAAAAAGCTCGGATTACAGGTGCAGAGCACCACCTGGCCCAGTCTAAACTGCCATCTCAGTGAGCCCTGGGGGTGAGCCCCTGGCCCCTGCTTGCAGGCACTTTAATCTGCTGAGCTATTTGGCCAGCCCTCCTACTGAGTTGAGTAAAGAGCTCTGTTAAGAATCTGAAGAAGGGGGCCAGGGAGATGGCTCAGTGGATTAAGTGCTTCCCTGGCGAGCAAAAGGGCCTGAGTTCAATCATGGATCCTGTTATAGAACACAAGCTTGTTCCTGGTTTGTAGAATAAACCTTTGTCTTGGTTTCTGAGAGATGACTTCTAAATCCTTGGAATTTCACCAGTGGTAAGAATGTCTCTGTTACTCGTGTAGGACCCTGCTAGTCCATTTTGAGGGCCTTGGTGAACAGCACGACCTTCACTGGAAGCCAGCTGAAGACTGCATTCAATCTTGTTCATGCTTCCTTCAGCAAAGTACGTTAACTCAGGTGAGCTTTTGAAGTTAACAATATACAGCACTTTGCTGCAGTTCAGTGTGCTGGGTCATTTTTACTGACTCAACAAGTTGAGAATAGGCTCTAAATTCTGTACTTACTAGATAGTGGTAAACACTAAGCAACTATTTACTTGAATGAAAGATGTGACTAGTTTCTAATTTAACTAAAATTTTGCCCTTCCATCTATTCTGCATATAAGACACCAAAATTTTAAATTTAAAAAATAGTAAAAAAAATAATTTTTTAGTAGTTTTAAACTTTATAAAATGATACCTAAAGGAAAAGATATTTTTCAGTAATTTGTGTTTTAACAACACACAACAGCATCTTTTACAAGGATCTTACTGCATCAACATTCTTCATATCACTAACAGGAAAATACAATTATCTTAGCTATCATGTTCTCTAAGAAATTCTTGACCACTATTTAATTCTAGCCTTGCAGGAAAGGTGAAGAAAAAGCAATTTTTAAAGCAGAAATTTCGGGGCTGGAGAGATGGCTCAGTGGTCTAAAGCACCTACTTCAAACAAGCTCGGCAAAGCACAGGGACCGCGGTTCAATCCCCCAGCACCACATGCCAGCCAGACCCGCCCCCTGGTGGGCTGAGCTGGCCACACACACACACACACACACACACACACACACAAAATAAATAAATGTAATAAATAAAAATAAATAAATAAAAAAAATAAAGCAGAAATTTAGGAGATAACCTAACAGGTAGCGTGCACCCTAGTGTAAGGCTCTGGATTTAGGAGATAACCTACTTAATTCTCCAGTTTATAGAAAGGTCCTGCAATCTATTCTGGGTAGCAACAGAGTATCAGAAATCCAGGAAGAGGCTAGGCTAAACCGGGTGTGGTGATGCACACCTGTAAAGAGGCATGAGGACCATTGCTGTGAGTCTGAGGCCTGATGTAATATACATGTACCACTCACCACAGTAAATGTAATCATTTTGTATTGTAATATCAAGCACTTGGCAGGCTGAGGTAGGATTCCAAGCTTGAGGCCCAGTTAATTTATCAAGATCTGCCTCAAAATAAATCAGGAGGGGGTAGGGATGTAGCTCTCAAGTGGAACACTTACAAATGGGTTAAGACCCTGGTTTCCATCCCTAGTACTACAAAAATAAAAGTATACACTATACTGTTTCACTTATATGAAATTTTAAAATAGGCAACATTAAACTATGGTGACAAGCCAGTGGTTGTTTTTGAAGATGGGGTGATTAGGAAAGAGAATTAAAGGCGTACGTCACCAGGCCTCTGTATAGACAATGTTCAGTATTATGTATTTGTCACAATAAATGGTAAACATTTCCACTGTACAGTATATATTTTTTGTACCTCAAATTTTAAAAATAAGACTAAAAAGTTTTAAAATTGATGGCTTTTCTGAATAGCTTAATTCCAAAGATGTCATACAGGAAGACTTTTTGGCTGATTAACTTTTCAAAATATACATTGATAATAAAGTTAAGTTCATACCTTCTGGGAAGTTTCTGATAGAGGGGGAGTGGGACACTGACTGCTCTAAAGTAACTCCCTAACAG